CTAACATCACTTTATTTCCTTTTCCTGCTAGTGCAACTGTAACAGCAAAAAAAATTACAATAACAAGTTTTTCTTTAAATTCCATTTGCAAAGTCCTATTCTAGTACATTTCGCCTGTGTTCACTTTTTAAATGTGTTAGCTAACTTCGGAAACCACAGCTGTCCTGTAGCCTACAAAATGTGAGCAACTGTATCAATGGTTATTACAGTTAATGCACAGCTGAGTGACTTAAATTTCTCAAAAGTTAATCGTGCAATTTAATTTTAACATGCACATTTAATGCTATATTTACCTATTACGCTCTTGCTCTCCCCCAGCTTCTGGCAAGATTTATTGACTATTCCAACTACCAACTTCTACGTGGTATTCTCACTTGGTAGGGACTAAGTCTTATTGTGGTAGCCTTGGTGGACGGAGTGTCCCGGGGTGGATTTCTGAGCACTGATGCCATGACTCAGCGGTAGATCTCTCCTACATACCTGTGGTGTTGATTTAGTTCAAATAACAGAGCTTCCATGTTGGTTGCCAGAGACACCCTTGCAATGTAGACAAATACATTCACTTTATAGGGGAGAAAACTGAGACTCCACATGAGGAAATTCAGAGTTATGGCTGATGGTATGGGCTTTGGTGTTAGATAGACTAGGACTTAAATCTAGGCTCTGTCACTTTTACCTAGATGACCTTGGACAAGTAAAAACAAACAAACAAAAAGTCAGCTAGTTTACTTTTATTAAAAGGGCAATTCATGTGCATGGTATAAAATTCAAACATTACAAAGGGTATACCATAAAAAATGTTTCCCTGCACTTCAAGTCTGTAGCCTTCTGTGCAGAACAACCATTCTTAAGGGTTTCTCGTGTAAATGTTCAGAATGTCATGCATTTGCAAGCAAGGAATAGTACAAATGTGGCTGTGCAAATGTGCAAGCATATGTATATTAATTCCTAAAAGTGACATTTTGGTCAGGGGTATGGATATTTAAAATTTTGTAAAAAAAATAAAATAAAATAAAATAAAATTTTGTATGTAGATGCTGCCTAATGGTAAATACACTGTGGATGAGAGTGACAATTTTCTCGAACAGAATTACTTAAAAATTTTACCAATTAGATAGATGAATGTCATCCTAATGTGTTTCCTTCAAATTATTTTTAAAATATAACACATAGACAGGAAAACACACAAAATATAAATATGCCATTCAGTGAATTATTAAAGAAGCAAAAAAGTCAGGTCAAGAAAGAGAATATCTAGAACATTCCAGAAACTTTCCTCATGCCTCCTCCTACCTCATTTCTCCTTTCCAAAAATTAACATTATGGTTCAGTCATGATAGCTTTGCCTGATTTTGAATTTATATCCATGGAATCATACATAATATGCTTTCTTTGGTGTCTGCTGCTTTTGCTCAGTAATGTGTTTATGAGATTTCTCCAGTATACAACTCTAGTTCTTTCATTTTGTTATATAGATTTCCATTATGTAAATACGTGGCAGTTTATGAATTCTTCTACTGCTGACAGATATTTGGGTGTTTAGTTTTTTATTTTTTAAGAATAATGCTACATAAATGTTTTTGTACATGTCACTTGGTACACATGTGCATGCATTTCTGTTAGGTCTACGCTCAGGACGAAGGCACTGTCACAGCCATGTCAAGATCAGTCTAGCCTTTGTGAAGATGAATCACCACACGCAGAGAAGCCAGCCAACTCAGCCAAGTACCAGGTGCACACAGCTGTGTGAACAGCCTCCAGCAAGATCAGGAAAAGAATTGCTTAGCCAATCCATATCACTGTGATAAATAATACTTACTGCTGGTTTAAGTCCCTACATTTCAAAGCAGTTTGTTACACAGCAATAAATAACTGACCTGGAAATCGGTACCAGAGGGATACGGTACATAAAAATTGCATTTTCCCATGTACATGCACTGACTTAGGAACCATACTGTGAGTGAAGGCTGGAAAAATGAAGAGGCTGTTAGTGAGAGCTGGAGGACTGGAGAAAATTATTTCAGGAAAGGGTAGAAAGGTGGTGAGAAAATATTAACAAAGGCTTGGAAAAGACTGAACTGTGGTAAACAATTGTGGAACAGTGGATAAAAATGCTGCCTGTGGTAACTTGAAATAGAGATAAATGAACTTGCTGAACTGATATACTTCCAGGAAGAATACTGATAGTGTCATCTGGCTTCTTAGAGCTGAATATGATAAGGTATGGGAAGTGAGAAAGGCACTAGAGAGCTTTTCCACGTGTAAGAAGAATTTGGAGGAAATACAGAGAGCCCAGACTTCCTGGGTCAGAAAACAAAACTGTTCCTTATCCCAAGTTTCTCCAGCTGGCAAGAATTTCAAAATAAGAAATATCCCCCATTCTATAATGAGATTTGAGAGGAAATAAAGCAACGAGAGAAAAGCTCTCACTTCTGGTATGATAACTTTGATAGACAGACAAGCCAGCCTTGCCCTTGGGGAAAGGGGAAGGTGGGAGGAGGGGGTAGGGTTGGTCAAGAGGGCAGTCTACAAAAGAGACCACAGGTCCTGTGCTCCTGGGGCTTGTGTTGTGTCCTCTGGAACAGAGGACAATCACAGCAAGGCATGGTTTAGGAAGAGCCCTTAAGACTTTATCTAACGCCAGCCACATCCTCCCCAAAAGGACAAATGCTGGTATTAAAAAAGAACTAGAGTGAATACCTACTGTATCCAGCTTCTATAACTTCCCCATTCCTGCACCCTTATTCATCCACATGGTGCATATGAAAGCAAATATGATTTTCCAGTGGGCGCTGTTCTGAGCATCGAAGAATTGATGCTTTTGAACTGTGGTGTTGGAGAAGACTTGACAGCAAGGAGATCCAACCAGTCATCCTAAAGGAGATCAGTCCTGGGTGTTCATTGGAAGGACTGATGCTGACGCTGAAACTCCAATACTTTGGTCATCTCATGCAAAGAGTTGACTCATTGGAAAAGACTGATGCTAGGAGGGATTGGGGGCAGGAGGAGAAGGGGACGATAGAGGATGAGATGGTTGGATAGCATCACTGACTCAATGGACACGAATTTGAGTAAACTCCAGGAGTTGGTGATGGACAGGGAGGCCTGGCGTGCTGCGGTCCAGGGGTCACAGAGTTGGACACGACTGAGTGACTGAACGGAAATAAACTGTTCCCCTAACCACAGCTGACAGGTCCAAGTGTGGACAGCCTCGTTACAAAGAATTTAGTGTTTGGGTGTGGGGAGAGTGGGTGCAAATGGTAGGGATAATTATGAAGCAAGAGTGACTCTGAAGTATGGCCATAAATTGATGATTATTACAGATGGGTGTTAAATGCATGGGTGTTCTTTGTAACTAATCTCTCAAGAGTATTTTGAAATTGTGTATCAAATGAGAGTATGATGGAAGTGCTAGATTGTCTTTCTGGGAAAAAATACATGTACACAGAGAGTTAAAATTCTAGAGACAATTTCAGTAGGTTTATATCCTCCCACAAGTCTATCGATGGATTTGTATGATGCCAGGTTAAGAACCCTTAGTCTCAAAAAAGCTCAAAATATTCAGGAATAAGTTTAACCAAACAACTATAAGACCTGTACACTGAAAACTACAAAATATTGCTGAAAACAAGTAAAGACCCTAATTAATGGGAAAACATCCCATGTTTGTGAATGGGGAAGACTCACTATTATGATGGCAAAATTTCTCAAATTAACCTACAGAGTCAGTGTAATGCTTACTGAAATTCTAAGTGCCTTTCTTTGCATTAACAACTGATCCTAAAATTCATATAGAAATGCAATAGATCTAGAACAGCCAAGACAATCTTGAAAAAGGACAAAGTTAAAGAATTCATACTTCTTGATTTCAAAATCTATCACAAAGCTACATGATGGTATTGTATAAGAACAATACCTAAGAACAGACATAAACATCCCTGGACTAGAACTGAAAAGTCCACAAATCTGTACAGTTATGGTCAACTGGTTTTCAATAGAGTGACATGACCATTTAATGGAGAAATCAGATTCAACAATGGTGTTGGAACAGCTGAGTATGCACATGTGAAAAATGAATCTGGACTCCTACCTCATAAATTATACCAAAAACAATTAAAAATGGATCAGAGACATAAATCTAAAAACCAAATCTACAAAACTCTTAGAACATGGGTGTAAATCGATGTGAGCCTGGATTAGGCAATATTTTTTTAGACATGACACAAAGAGTACAAGCTGAAAAATAAAAATACATTTATGGGCTTCATCAGATTTTAAATTTGTGCATTAAAGGATACTATCAACAAAGTGAAAACACAATTCACAGAACTGGAGAAAGTTACTTGTGAATCATATATTGGATAAAGGTCTAGTTTCCAAAATATATAGAGAACTTTTACAACTCAACAATAAGATGACAAATAATTCATTAAAAAATAAGCAAAGGATTTGAGTAGACATCTCTTCAAAGAAGATAAACACATAGCCAATAAGCACACGAAAAGATGTTCAACATCATTAGTCACCAGGAAAACTCAAATCAAATCCACAAAGAGATACCATTCCATACCTATAGGATGGCTATAAGTTAAAAGTAAAAAATAAGTGTTGGTGAGGAAGTGGTGAAATAAGAACCCTCAAATGTTGGTTTGAGGGAAGCATCCAGGGCAGTTTCCTTGGGGGAGCAGTGGGGAGTTATTGCTTAATGGGTATATAATTTCTGTTTGGGGTGATGAAAATATTCTGGGATTTGATAGTGGTGATAGCTGCAAACTTCATGAATATATGAAAAACCACTGAATTGAAATGATTCAATGATGCTAAAAAATGATGCTACTGTACGTGGATGATTTCTCAATTAAAAAAAAGACCACATAGTCTAATGAGAAATTCTCTGACAAAGTACATATTATTGCAAAGAAACATTTGAAATATAACACATATCTAATATGTGAAAATCACACATGTAGTTATGATTTCAAAATGTTGCTTAGTTTAAAAGACAATTATAAATGCACAGTATGAGAAGCCCTTCTGAAGCTTATATTTACTACACTTTTAGATTTATTATATTTCATAGGTTCTGCTTCATTCTGCTTGGAATAAAATCTAAGCAAAGAATGTAACTTTCATTAACAATGGAACGCACTTAAATCTTAAGTTTCTAACTTCGGAAACTACAGAAAACTACAGTATGGTGGTTTGCAAATCAATTTACCAAACGTACAGTTACAGAAGGCATCATAATGTAGTTACTTTAGGTCTGGAAGTCAAACGATCACAGTAGATGTTGTAGCTCTATCGCTTAGCTCTTTTCCACTTCTTCATCTGTGACTGAGATAGGTGGAATTGAAGTTCCTTCTAGCTTTAAAATTTTAAACTTACTCCATCCTATTGTGGCTTTACAGTCAAAAGAATTTTGGAAGTGTTTTCCTTGCTTGGGCTATATTAAAGCGTTCACATTTTAAAATTTAACAAATTATTATTGTACCATAACATTTGAAAGGGATTAAATCAATTAGACCAACTGATCTCATTCCGCTGAGAATTGGCCTGAGGCAATACCACCATCTGGTGGTTTCTCTTCAAACATAATTTTCTAGAAGACGGTTTGGCCTCTCATCAACTTTAGATATGCCTATTTTAGGAAACAAATTTAATAATGTTGCATATGTTTAAGTTAACTAATGCTTATGTAATTGGTCTTAAAAACTTGTAATTCAATACATTCTCCCAACAAGTATTTGTTTAGTGCCCAAGTGTAAGAACAAAAGAGCAAACAAAAACACTTGAATTCATAGATGTAATAGTCTAGTGAGAGAAAGTAGACAGATAAGCATAATAAGTAAATTATGTTAACTGGTAAGTTCTATTAAATATCAGGATAAGGGGGATGTAGGATAGGTTGCAATTTCAAATAAAATCTGAGCAAAGACTTGAAAGAGGTGACGTCAATTCTACACGCTTGTCTCAAGAATAAAATTCCACTGACTTACAATCTAAGTATCCAGTTTTAATTCTAGCGTGCTGCTATAATTCTGCTTCCTCAAATGTTCCTTTCTAGTAAGCAGGGACTGCAATACCAGGTCAATATTAAAAAGAAGGATATTAACATATTAACAGGATAATAAAATATTAACAAGAAGGACTGCATTTTGAAAAATGACGCTGCCCTAAAGATACATACCTTTCCAAGAGTAATGACTTTAGTATGAGGAAAGGTACAGGTGGAAGAAAGAAGGGGCTCTAACGCTGACCCTACAGACCACTGCGACGCCTGAAATCTCGATAGCGGTCTCACTGTAAGGCTGCTCCGCAATGGTGACGCAGGGCTCTTCCTATCACTACTATGTAGTTCTATTTCCTGATCCGAGAAAGGAACGGCGGAAAATCAGGTAAACCCCGCAGGGTGCTTCTGGACCAGGAATTTTCTGTGACGCCGCAACCTGCGCCCGGGTCCAGTCAGACAGCCGCATCCAGGTCCGACGCGCATTCCTGGTTGGCGGATTCGTCACTTCTTGGTGTCAGAAGTTAAAATGAAAATTCACAGTTCCCTACTTCGGAAGCCCTTCTTGTCCAAGAAAACAGAAGCAAGAGCAACTCCAAGTCCTTGAATCTTTTTTTTTCTCTCGTGGCTTCCACAATATCTACACCCTGTCTGCCGGGGACTTGCGTCGAAAGTGACGACGCGGACGCTCAGGCCTCGGTTTCCAGCGCGCAGTCGCGGCGGCCCCTCGCTCCCGCCCTTGCCGGGAGGTCCGACGTGGAAGTTGCTGGCTGACCAAGCTTCCAAAGAAACTGTCTGGGAGCTAAGAGTCCGAGCCGGAGCCGGAGCGCAGGCCTAGGCGAGGGGAGGTGGCGGCGCCAAGACTCGAATAGGAGTCGCTGCCGAGGTCGGGGCCAGTCTCTGACAGTCGACGAGGGCGGACAGGCGGTTCATCATGGGTGAGAGATCTGAGAAGGGAGTCTGGGCGCACCGAGAGGCCGAGGCCGAGGGGGCTGGGGTTGGGGAGAGGAGGAACAGAGGGGCAGGCCTGGGAAGCCCGGATTACTTCACTCACCTTGGCTCTTGTGCGTGGACTCTGCCTGGAACCTTCGCTTCCTGTCTGCCCGCGGCGTCAGGGGTGGGTCACCGCGGGCAGGTGAACTTTTCCCTTACCTCCTCGGACCCAGCGCCGCTTGCTGGACGGAGTTGGTCTGCGAAGCTTGGCAACATGTCATTTGCAAGTTCACTAAGGTTTCTTGGGTGAAAGATGAGCTCTGACCTTGTAGTGGCAGCTTGATACTTTCTCCCTGGTCGCTGGGACAGCGTCAGTTTAAAATCCAAAAGGTGTTGCTCGTAATGTTTTATTGCCAACACGGCATTTATCTGCTTGCCTGTAACTTTTCCTGTAAGAGAGGAATGTGGAGAGGGTAGTGGGCAGGGAAAGTATTACTGGTCAGTGATGACGTTTTAAACTCAATTTTTGGAGTGCTAATTGAGAGATCTACATTGTCGTCAAAAGCAGCAGGTAGAGAGCTTCGCTCCCCACTGGAGCCCAAATGAAGGTGCACATTTTTAACTTGCTCACAACTCTCCAAGTGATGCAGATTCTTTGGGTTATTTAAATACCTCAGCTATTTTCTGGGGAGTTTTCATCTTGCTCTGAAACATCAGAAGTGCCTTCTTGTCTTTTTGCATAACCCTGTCAGTTTTTTTCCTACTGCCTGTTTTTAACCTGTAAGAAAGGATTTTGTCAAGTCACACTCCTTATGTTACAAACTTTCAATGTTCTCTAGCCCATGGTGGATTCATTTTTCCAGACTTGTTTTTAATTTTGTCATTTCTTTGTAAAATAACCTGGTGTTGTTTGTGAGCATCATTTCTGTTGTCAGCTTTTTTATATTGTTAGTGTAACTTTTTTCTAATCTTTTCAATTGTCTTTTGGTAAGAAAGGGCCAGAGTGCTTTTATTGGGTAGGGAGGGGTAATCATTAAAGAAAGAACTTATTTTAAAAGAGCTTCTTGTTTGATTGTAGAAATAGTAAAGATTCTGAATTTCCACCTCTGTCACTCTTAGGGGTTATTTTATTTAAACACACATCAACAATTTAATCTATTACTGGGAGGCCCTGCTGAGACAGAGGATGATTTTAAATTTTAACTTTTTTTCAGCTGTATTGAGGTATGACTGACAAAAATTATGTATATTTAAGGTGTACAGCATGATATTTTGATATATGTGTACACTGTGAAGTGATTACCACATTCAAGCTGATTAACATGTCCATCACCTTACAGTTACTCTTTTTGTGTGTGGGATGAGAACACTTTGAGATCTGCTGTCTTGGAAAATTTCAAATGTACAATACATTATTTATTAAATATAGTTACCATGATGTTCATTAGATCTCCAGAATGAATCTTCTAATCAAAGTGTATATCCTTTGACTAACACTGACTGTGTCATTTTCCCCACTTTCCTAGCATCTGGTAACCACCATTCTATTCTCTGTTCACAAGTGCTTTTATATTACACAATACCTTGTGTATAGGAAGCTTTCTGGTAATAGTTCATGGTATGTTGAATGTAGCTTTTTATTATTTTTTAAATGTTTTCCATCAAAAACAATTTTTGTTATTTTTGGCTTCTGTCTCAGTTTCTTTGCAAGTTACATTCCTTACAGAGAATTCTCAGTGATTGAAAGTACTCATGGTACTGCTGTTGTACAGCAATAATAACTGCTTCTCCTGTTCAAGGACCTCATTGTCCCACTCTCATTCTAATTTGCTCTTTAATTTCTAGGGGTAATGAGGATATCACGTTAAGCTATCCATATTCTCTTGTTTAGAAAGTGAGCTCCATGAGGGGAGTCATATTTCTCTTATTTTTGAGTATATCTTCTGAGCCTGCCTAACATAGTATCCAGGACATGGTAACAATCAGTAATTACTAGTGTGATGTTGAATGATGTATTTCATTGGAAGCAATGTGCCTATGAATGGAGGAAAATATTACAATGTTACTGAATTTAGTATAGCTTTTAAAGAGCAAGATTAAATGTTTTGTGGATTTGGTCCTTGAAATGATATTGAAATACATTTTTGTTATTTTCTAAGGTGGCTTTTTCTCAAGCATTTTTTCCAGTCTGTTTGGAACTCGGGAAATGAGGATTTTAATTTTGGGATTAGATGGAGCAGGAAAAACTACAATTTTGTACAGATTACAGGTTGGAGAAGTTGTGACTACTATTCCTAGTAAGTGTTGGTATGATAAACTAATTATAAATAGGGGCTTTTGTTTTCCATTGAAAAAAATTTATTTCTGTATACATATGTAATGTAATTAATAAGATTTGTAGACTTCTGTGAGCATAATATTGACAACATTTTTTTCATAAATTTACAGACAGTTTGGTGTAATTTATGAACCCCTGTGCATGGCTGGGTTCTGCTGTTTAGAGCTGTTTTAAAAGTTGGGTAGAGTTAAGCCACATAGTATCATTGAGAGCCAGTATCTTTATTGATAAAATGAAGATAATAAATATTTATTGGCTTTGAAAATAAAGCCAGTGAATAAGGAAAATGAATCAGGTATATAAAATACTTTGTAAATCTGAGTAAAGAATTACCAGTATGTTGATACTAAGTTATACTATTACATGTGCAGTGTTTTTTTTTCTGTACTTGTTATTATTTGATTAAAATTAGTTTTTTTTTTTTTTTAGTAATCCTATTGATTATTTTTAAAAATCTGAGTTGAAGAGACTGAGTGTTGAATTAATCTGGAATTTAAAAATATCCAGAAAAGTAACACCTTTAAATCAATTGATATCTTAGAAAAATATTCTTCAGTAGTCCTAATTTACTACATAAGAAGACTGTTCTGTTACTTGCCCTGAAGATTAGTATACTTAAACTAAGTTTAATAGTTTGTAGACTTTGCTCAAGAATACTTGTGTCTTTAAGTTACTCCGTCACTCAAGGTATTTCTATTTAGTACTATTTATATTTCCAGATTAAAAAAGAAAAGTCTAGCTTTTACAAAAGAACTTTTTGAGCTGTGTCATCTGTTAGTTCTTGCTACCACCTTCAAGAAATTTCAGCTTCTTTGGCTTTTGGTTCTCAAATCACCCATCTGTGCTGCAGTTGAGTCATGGTGGCCCCTGCGGTACCCACAGCTCAGTGGATTGCGTTTCAGCAAATGTGATTTATACCACGTCCTTCTCCTCTGCAAATAAACAGCATTTGTAATTGAGGTTGAATATGGTGATTACACTGCTACCTAATTCTAAGGGAGACATCATGAACTTGGTTTTTACTTTTTTACTCAGATTTGCTATAGTAATTTTTTTATACTTGCCATATATACTCTTAAGCATTGTTTACCAGTATAAACTTAAATCTAAAAAATTAATTGTCTAATTATAGCTATAAGTTATATTTTACTTCGATTTTTTTTTGTTTGTAAAATTTTATTAATTTTTATATGTATAGCTCCTTATATGTATAGAGGATGCTATATGTATAGCATCCTCTCCAGCTCCTCTGGATTCCTTTCATTGAAAATAATAGTATCTTGCCTTAGGCATGTGATGCCAAGCCCCACCTAAGAAGGATGGCAGGGGAAGGGGTTGAGACTCTTCCCTTTGACCATCTAGCTGTGACCTTACTGTGGATGAGTTCTTGAGGAGGTCTTCAGAGGGCCTGTGAGATTCCCTGCCTTAGCGAACTCAGCCTCCATAAAGAGGTATACAGCCATTGCTGTGCCTTACTGAAGTTTAGAATCTAGGCTTTTATCCTATTTGCTATCTACCAAAATTCCATTTTTGTAATATGTTTACAACTGTCCTAAGTATAACTTTCTGAATGCTTTTGTATGCCAGTGTTTAACATAACAGGATTTCCATTTAGCTAAGAATATCTAATTGCAGAGGTGGCTGGGAGTTCTTCTGTACCCTGAAAGTGGGATTGATCTTGCTTATTGTGGGGGGAGGTGTGTGTGTATGTATAGCACAGCATACTGTCGTAAATGGAATAGTATTTGAACTAATAATGTGATTCAACATTTACCACTAATTGCTGAAACTCAGGACACTTTGAAGACAGAATGTATTAGTCTACATACACTGTTAATCTGCTTTCTTTTCCAGCCATTGGATTTAACGTTGAGACAGTAACATACAAGAACCTTAAGTTCCAGGTCTGGGATTTGGGAGGACAGACAAGCATCAGGTATGGCACAAAGGCCAGACCATCTTGTAGTATTGGGATCTTTATTGCTCTTTTAGGGTTAACAGCAGTAAACCAAAGTATGTCTTCTTTTGTAATGTAATGGGAGCCACCTAGTTTAAAATGAGGTAAAACCGCCTTATTCTCTCAATTAAATCTGAGAATTAAAGATTTTTAACTAAAAAATTAAAATCTACGGAAGTCAGTTTTTCCTATATCACTTGGATGAAAATTTTTTCCATGCAAGTCTGAAGACCTGATTACTTCAGTCAGGTCAGTTCAGTCGCTCAGTCATGTCCAACTCTTTGTGACCCTATGAACCGCAGCATGCCAGGCCTCCCTGTCCATCACCAACTCTGGGAGTCCACCCAAACCCACGTCCATCGAGTCGATGATGCCATCCAGCCATCTCATCCTCCGTTGTTCCCTTCTCCTCCTGCCCTCAATCTTTCCCAGCATCAGGGTCTTTTCAAATGAGTCAGCTCTTCGCATCAGGTGGCCGAAGTACTGGAGTTTCAGCTTCAGCATCAGTCCTTCCAATGAACACCCAGGACTGATCTCCTTTAGGATGGACTGGTTGGATCTCCTTGCAGTCCAAGGGACTCTCAAGAGTCTTCTCCAACACCACAGTTTAAAAGCATCAATTCTTCAGTGCTCAGCTTTATTTATAGTCCAACTCTCGCATCCATACATGACCACTGGAAAAACCATAGCCTTGACTAGACGGACCTTTGTTGGCAAAGTAATGTCTCTGCTTTTTAATATGCTGTCTAGGTTGGTCATAACTTTCCTTCCAGGGAGTAAGCATCTTTTAATTTCATGGCTGCAGTCACCATCTGCAGTGATTTTGGAGCCCAGAAAAATAAAGTCAGCCGCTGTTTCCACTGTTTCCCCATCTATCTGCCGTGAAGTGATAGGACTGGATGCCATGATCTTAGTGTTTTGAATGTTGAGCTTTAAGCCAGCTTTTTCACTCTCCTTTCACTTTCATCAAGAGGCTCTTTAGTTCTTCACTTTCTGCCATAAGGGTGTAGTTTTTAAATAAAAAGAATCCTCTAGTTAATTCTTGTCAGTCCCTTCCTCTGTGAAACAGACTGTTTTGGATTTAATGAAAATACCTTTTGGGCCCACCATTTAGGACTGGATGCATTCCCCAAGCATTCTGCTGCCTTTTAACTCATTTTATTTCTTGAACCACTTTGGGGTCATTTGTTAATTTTAGCCATTTCTACTTCTTGTCTTCAGTGATCAATTTAAAGTCTGTGACTAAAATTATTTTTAAAGAACCCATTTCTCTTAAGGAGTTTCTAGTTAAAGATTTATAAGATACAGTGATCAGGTCTGTATGAAACATTTTTTCATCAGTACATTTAGTGATTTTATAGATTCTTCTCTCAGCCTGTAGTCTAAACTCATTCTGAAGCTCCTTGATCCTATGTTCTATCAATATTCTTTCTACCCATTCCCATCTGAGGGATATGATACATGTCCATCAGAAACAATCATTATGGCATTGATACTGATACGGGTGGGAAAGGATTGGCAAGTAACACCCTTCACCCCACCATAGCCAAGTCCTAGAATATAAATTAACCTATCAGTTTCATTTTTCAAATAATAATATATTCTCCCTTTCTGAATTTTCTTTAGGCCATACTGGAGATGTTATTATTCAAACACAGATGCAGTCATTTATGTAGTAGACAGTTGTGACCGAGACCGAATTGGCATTTCCAAATCAGAGTTAGTTGCTATGTTGGAGGTAAGAAAACTATTAAAATGTGGGTAAGTCATTTATATTTCCTAGCTCTTTTTATTATTTATTGTCACATGCAGAAATAATTAAAAGGGAAACAACAGGGGTCTCCCCCACACCCACGTCTTTAGTATCATGTTCTTTTATGCAAATTACTTTCTATTCCAAAAATACTGTTGGGGAGAGAGTTGAAGACAAAAAAAAATTTCCAGTCCTATAACTTCCTTTAAATTCCTTAACTTCCAGAAAATTCAGAGCTAAACCCTTTCTAAACTGAAGTGACCATTCTAAGTCACTCCTGTGAAGTGATTGTTTTTTTAATGTCTTTATTTCTGGTTGTATAAATTAGCATGTGGAAGCAGATTTATTATATAAGTATATAAATGATAAAGTATATTTGTTTTAGAAGCACTGAAGCCCAGAGAAGTCTGGATTTCTGGCACAGTTCTGGCCTGTTTTAAGCTTCTCAAATGTACTAGTGATTAACTTAATAATGAAATTGCCTTTGCTTGAGAAAATTAGATGTATAGGTTTCCTTTTCCCACTGAAACAATGATTCTGACTTACTCAATTATTAAATGTTTAAGTTCTAGACAACTTGATTCCTAGTTAGAAGCAAGACTTCGACTATTTTGGACTTCTGAGTTCTTGGATGATTAACTTCTTAGTAGCTTCCAATTTATAAATTTCAACCTAAAGGTTTGAAGTTTTGCCTAAATTTTTTTTTTAAACAACATAGCGTCAGATTTATCATAAGAGCATCTTAGACCAAATTCAAAGTGTAAGGAATTTTAAGGGACTGGTTAATTGCCTTGGGTATAACATATTTTTAAAATATAAGCTTTATTTAGCTATAATTCACATGGTATAATAAATTTTTATTATATAAAGTATGGCATAAAAGAAATGGATTATTAACTTCAGTTCACAGTTCTCAAATTGTATTGGATTGTTGTTAGGTTATTTGTGGTATTAGGATTTGACTTGTGTAATCTTTCTCCATAGAAAACTAAAAATTGTATTCATTCTTTAGGAATTAACTTTTATTTGATTTAATCATTATTTATTTATTAGTGATATAAAGTACATGTGGAGGCTGAATCAGGACTATTAAAACTTACAGACACAAAACCAGTTTGTTTTACCTTTGTACACAAAAACTTCTAAGTGGAGTAAAGAAATACAAAAAGGAGCTAGAAAATAGCTTTTAAAATAACAGATTTTTTTTTTTGGCATTTCTTCCTAAACTCAGGAGCAAATTGATTAGAGGAAATATTTTTTTATTTTATTTAGGAAGAAGAGCTGAGAAAAGCAATTTTAGTGGTGTTTGCAAATAAGCAGGACATGGAACAGGCAATGACTCCCTCAGAAATGGCAAATTCACTTGGGTTACCTGCCTTGAAGGACCGAAAATGGCAAATATTCAAAACTTCAGCAACCAAAGGCACTGGCCTTGATGAGGCAATGGAATGGTAAGTGTCATGTTTCCAGAAGCCATTTGTGGATTTGTGTGTCCATGCATTTGTAATTTCCCTTGGTCTTAAAGATGAAATCAGATTACTTTGCAGTTTATCATATTAAGTTCCTCCACCCTTTTCTTTTCTTCCACTGGTTTTCATCTACATCTGCTTTTGTTTTAGCCACAGGTACTAATTATAGTTAGGTAAACCACCTATCTGCTACATTTCTAGCTTTTTCCCTTACTCACCTCACCCTCCGGTTCCTTATCCTCAGGACTTAGGTTGAGGCTCTCCGCTTCTCAGGAGCCTTCCATACCTCCAGGCCCACTGCCTTACCACACACAGATGTCCTTGTCAGAGATCAGTGATATAGTAGTTCTTGTTACACTGTCTTGTAGTTGGTTTGTGCATTTGCTTATTAAATTATCATCTTGAGGACTGAGGCTAGTTTTCATCTCTGAATTATCCACATCTGGCCTGGCTATAGTAGGTAGCAGCCTGGAAAGTGGCTATTTGGTTGTTTTTGATTTTTCATTCAAAGCATAGACAAAGTGAGAGCTAAAATACACCCTTGTGGAAATTGAGTCCATAACCTCATTCTTCTAGTATAACCGTCTTAACTTTCATCATTTAAAGTGCTTTGGAATTCATCTTCAGTATGAAATTTATATTATAAACAATTATTCTCTATACCTGGAAATCTGAAGTTAATTTTGTGAAACTGTTCATTTTCTCTTCACAGGTTAGTTGAAACATTAAAGAGCAGACAGTAATTCAGTCACTTTTGCTCCTCTGAAACGAAGACCACATCACATATCCCTTTGGAAACAGTTAAGTGTGCTCCACACTACTAAATTTTAAAGCTGTGTGATTGTCAGCATATACCGAACTGACTGGAACACTTATAATACATAGTAAAACTAAGTATTTGGTTGGAAGGGTAACTCATCGTGATTGAACCAACTGAATGTCTGTCCTATATAATGTAAAATATTCCTTCCTTGTTATCTTGTGTTAAGGTATATATTCTATTTGTATGCAGTTCTTATTCAGATACAGTCCTATTAAAGAATGTTCTCTTAATGAGGAAAAAGCCCTCCAGGTTTTAAATTAGTGGTTGCATCTTGTTTGTATTAATACTAATTTATATCTTAATTCAGATTTTTCCCTCTAAAATGAATTAGGTTTTTCCAAAGATTAGGCTCAATAGAGTAGGCCAGAACCTAGCGTGGGTAATTATAGTCTGCATTTCTTAATGACCACTTGGTCTAAGCTGTTTCATTTAAAAGCTTTTGGTTATAGGCATGAAATAAATTATTTTGGTGGCTAATTTCACTGACTTATCTGTAATTATCATTTTATAGTATTTTTAGCTGTTTGGAAATTTTTTTCAGATTTGGACCTACTCAGTCAATTTGTACAGGAATCCTGCCATGTTGCTAGGACATCATTTTTACATCTTCATTTTTATGGACATGGACCCAAAATGCTGATAGACTGGCTTGACTAAAGTCACCTGCCAGGGTGGTGGGAATACAGGGCTTACAGAGAGATTTAAGGGTCAGAAGCTTGTCCCATGAACTATACTATAAATTCCTGGAAGTGCCAACATTGACAACACAACTTAATTCCTTATGTAAAATTAAGCTAATAGAAGTAGACATAGTAGATTCAAAATAATGTCTATAAAATTTTCCATACTAGTAGAGGTAGTAGAAATAGTCCTAAATGGTTATATTTGATTGAATTCACAACACGGTAAACAAAATTTCACATTAAGGGAAATTTTTTGAAAACAAGACTTATTTTAAGAAGCATTGTAAAGGATGTTTTTACTGTCTTTGGTTCCTTCTATCTACCTGTAATTGAACGTGTAACTTTGGTGAAAAGTCAAAATCTTATTGATTCTAGAGGGAGAGAAACTGAGTATTCCTGATTTTAAAAATTAGGCTTACTGCTGCTAGACTATCAAAAACAATTATTTCCTAAGGACTTTTAAAAGGAACTTTACAAACAACCCAGTCTACAGTGAGACAGAAATAAATAGACCTTAGTAATTACTAAAACTGGGAGCAGTTTTTTTCAGGCCTTCTTCCAGGAGCGTGTGTTCCCAGTGTGCCCAGTAGTACTAGCAGCATATAACTGACATTGTGTCATAGTTTGCCAGGCACTCCTGATGGGCAAACTGTCCTTTTCATGTTCATATCCCTGACGTCCAGTATGACGCCTGGCACATTATGGCACCTCAGAATATGTTCATGGTTAAAAATGGTAGGCTGTATGTTTGTCAGCTAGGAAAATAGTACATCAGTGCTTTATACTTGGGTCCCTTTCTGGTCAGTGGCACATAGCTAGTGTTAGACTTGTACCCAAATGGATGAGCACTCCCCAGTGGTTCAGGACATTGTGAAAATAGAAGTGTGGGGAGGCGCAACCCTGGCAGGCAAACAGTGCCTGACAAATAGCCGTGGTAGCTAAGGCCCGCACTTGGGTGATCCTGATCCCTCTGATTTGCCACAAAGAATAGGATGGGGTATAGAGCATGCACTGACGTTAAGCTGGTATAAATGAGAAGGTCCTTGTCTAGCAGGAACAGCTGTACAGGTATGTTATAGGAGGTTGAATGTTTATATTTATAAAAATCTACTGAGTCTTGTTTCATGAGAAGCCTGAAAAGGACCAAACCTGAAATCAGAGCATATGAGTTCTAGGCGCAAAGGGCACTCCATCAGTTTCTGTTTGGTTTTTCTTTTTGTACAAATAATATCAAAGGTGTCTTTGAGCGCTAACATTGTTTTATAATTGGTTGGTAGTGGTGCTGTGCCACGTGATCGAATTTAAAGACAAATCGAGAGTGGAGCTCTATTATCAGCATACCTGAGATGCACTTAAATTGTGGAAACGCAAGCTCCTTGAGGGCGGGGACCATACCTTATTTACTGTTAGAACCCCATGCGTCTAGTGTGGTGCACCTGGCACATACTTGGTACTGGGCTCTCAATAAATATTTACTGGAATAAATATTGATTAACTGCTGATTAAAATGATTAAATACTGATGAAAACAAAGCCGTGCTCAATATACTTGAGATATTTATTTTTCCTGACTTTGCCTTTAGTATTAATAACTTTTTTGATTCAGAAATTTTTTATAAAAGCAAATACCTGCACTTTAAATCACTTAGAATTGGGTCTGCTTTCCAGGATGCCCCACGTTTATTCTTTTGGGATATTACAAACACCTTGGAAGTGTGAGAACTCCTGTTTGAGATACAGACTGCATCATAACACATGAAGTTCATGAATGTTTGAACATTTGATTCCTATGCCACATGCTGTAATATTCTAACCCCGTCACCATAAAGAGCATGGGCTTTCAGTTCCAGGTTTAATTGACTCTGCCACGTTCAACCTGTGTCACCCTTAGGTAGATTATTTAACCCGAGAGGAGATTCCTTATCTGTAAAATAATGAGTTTTAGGAAGCTGTCAGAAAGACTTAAACAAATATGAGTTAAATAAAATGTAAAGTGTAGGATGATTTTTCCTCCCCCTACCCTTCGAAATGTATTGGATACTAAAATATATTGCTTCTGTTTAATACATCAAGTGTAGAGAGGCAAAAGATACCATATGGTTGAACAAGATAATGCCAGACTGTTTTCCAAAGTGTTTTATAAAAAAAGTTCCCCTTCCTCCACCATGCTTGCCAACATTTGGTGTTGTCTGAAGGGTTCAAAATGGAGTTTCATTTACATGTCAATCTGCATTTTCCTGATTACTAACAAGGTTAATACAGGAGTGACTCAAAAAAAGTAACTAGCAGACATAGCTGATACTCTAACCCTACTAGTGCAGGCTTTAGCCCTTTAATCTCTGGTTGGGGAGACAGTGGTGTCCAGGCACTCACACAGCCAGGGTGGCAGTTCTGAAGTTCATGAGCGCCACCACGAAGTGGTCTCAAGGTAAGGACTTGCTAACCAGTACGGAAGTACTTAAGACCTGTTATAGCCGTATTTGCTAACTGGGCTAAAGGGCCACTTATATTTCCTCTGCAATGCCTATTTCTATATTTTGCCACTTTTTCAACTGTATTATCTTCGTTGATTATAGGTGTTTCTTATATAGTCTGGGTACTATTAATCCTTTATCAGTACAAGGTACATACCACGTCCCAGTTGCGTCTTCTTGTAAATAGAAGTTCTTAATTTTTATCATATCATCCCTCTCTAGATAGCACTTTTTATCTTACTTTTCATTATTTGACAGGGCAAGCCCCTCACCCTATTTTCCTTTTGTAAGAGTATCATGGCTATTTTTGACTAACTATCCTTCCATGTACATTTCAGAATCAGTTTGTTGGGATAATATGAAGAACTTCTTTGGGATTTTGCTCAGATTTGTATTTAACCATAGGTTTCCAACTGGGGAAGAACTAGCAACTTATGATACTAAATCTTCCTACCCATGAATGTAGCGAAACTTCTCCATTTGTCCAGGTCTTTCTTAATGCTCATGTTTTCAGCTCAACAGTCGCTCAGTTGTGTCTGACTCTTTGTAACCCCATGGACTGCAGCACACCAGGCCTCCCTGTCCATCACCAACTCCCAGAGCTT